GGCGTCAGGCGAGGGGCGGAGCGGGTGGGCGGCGGGCGCGACGGCAGCAGCGTGGGCGCAGGGAGCAGGTGGGTGGGGACGGGGCTTGCAGGACAAGGGGGTGGGTTGCATCAGCAGGCCGCGTTTGCGGGGGGGAGGGGAGGGGTGGAGCCATGTGCTGTGGGAGGATTCCCAAGACCAAGGGTCATGTCATGCCGCCTGTGCCTGCGACTGCATTGCTTGCTTTCTCCTGGTTGAAGCCTGGTGTGTTCACCAACACACTCACACACACATGCCATGACCTTTCGTTGCTCCCGACCTTGACGATCGTCGTTTCCCACGCCCGTACGCCCGTGCCCGCACTCACGCCACACACTTCAGCACAACTACAATCACTGCACCACCAGCACCACCGCCGCACAACCGCTGGCGCAGGCCCCAGCTCCCCTCTCCCCTCCCAGACACAAACCTTGCGGTGCTTGCCGATGACGTTCCCGTTGTTGCCTATGACCACCGCCGTGTTCCATATCGTGTCCCCGTGCTCTTCGTCCCGCTCCAGGATGGGGCTGACGACCACCATGCCCCAGCGGCGCGCGAGGCCCTGCAGCAGCTGCGTGGTGGGGCCGCGCTCCGCTGACTCAGCAAAGGCGCACCAGTGCTTCTCCCGGGTGCAGAAGGCGAACGGCATCGTCCTGTGGAAAAAGGGGTCGACCAGGGGTTGACCAGGTCACAGGCGCGTTGACTGGAGCCCCTGGAGGGCGCTTGTGATGACAGGAGAGGGAAAGTGGCCCACGCGTGCAGCCAGGCGAACAGCAAACCCCAGCATCTTCAGCTGGCGTAGACGGATGGGAGCCTGTGGGCAACACAGCGCTGTAGGCGCCAGCTCGGCACTGCGGGCGCACCATGCCTCCTGCAGGCAGAGGATTTTGACCCCCGCTGCGCCGGCGGCGTTGATTATCTCCTCTGCGCGCGACCAGAGGGCCTGGGACGTGGGGTGGGGTGGGGTAGGCCGATAATAACTGCGCAAGTGTTTTCGTTTCAAACGTCGTACGCGAGTGTGCGTGTGAGAGAGAGGGGGGTTGAGCGTGCGTGCACACACGCAAGCATGAGTGTGTGTAGATGTGGTGTGTGTGCATGTGACAGAGACAGAGAGTGTGTGTGGGTTTGTGCACGCAAGCTGCATGCATTTGTGCCCACATATCCACTTGCCGACGTGTTGCTGCCCAGCCTTTTACTCGGAGGACGCAAGGGACCCCAGCAGACGGGTGCTGCGCTCAGCTGTGCTGTGCTGTGCTGTTTGTCAAGGCACTGCAGCTGGCCCATTGCCGGCCCTCCCCATGGCGGCCCCTCAACGGGCCAGCCCACGAGCTGTGAAGGCGCAGCCCCTTCACACTCGCCCCCTCCGTCCCCTGACACATGCGCCAGCAAGCGCCCCTCGCCCCCGACACCTCGCACCTGCCGCTGCTCCTCAAACGGCGCCGTCGTCGGGGCCGGTGCCGCGTTCTGGACGATCCCGATCCTAACGACCCGCGGCGGCCGCAGCTCCTCGGGGGCCGCCCTGAATGCATAAGCCTGCAGGTCAAACGGCCGCGCGGACCCGCTGGCGGCGGCGGCGGCCTCGGGGGGCAGCTGGAGGGGCGCGACAGGGGCGCCCTCGTTGGAGCCGTAGAGGACGCGCTTGACTTCGCGCAGCTTCGCGGGGTCGGTGATGTGCTCCTGGTGAGGGGGGGACGGCGTGTGTTGCTATGAGATTGTGCTCTGGTGTGTGTGTGTGTTGTGTGTGTTTTGTGTGTTGTGTGTTTGTGTGTGTGTGTGTGTATGCGTGTGTGTGTGTGTGTGTGTGTGTGTGTGTGTGTGTGTGTGTGTGTGTGCGACTGTGTCTGCACGCACCTGCATGGGCAATCCATCGACGTGCACACATTTGAGGTTGTGTATGTGCGTGTGCATGTGTGGGCGTGTGTGCTAGCCAAGGGGGAAGCAGAAAGGGTGTGAAAACTTGGGGTCGCGTGGGCCAGTTTGCTCATGTGCTTTGCAAACAACGGGAACACGCATTCGGGACACGTAGGGGCGCCGTGGCTGTCAGGTCACAGCGCTTGTGACCAAGAACAACGTGGCAGTCGACACATGCCATCATTGCGGTGGCTTTTGAACCCCACCCACAAGGCGTGCCCCGGTGCGCGGTCTAGGAAGCAGCACATTGTGCGCTGGGGGCGCACATGGGTCGCTCCATGCGCTAGGCTGCAACGTGCGCCTGCTATCAACGACTTGAATGGATTTTGAGTGCTGACAGTATCCCGCGTTGGCCACACGAGGCTGCTATCGCAATCGATTCGTAAGCTCCGATCTCGGGGGGTCGCGGTCAGCCCCTCGCGCACCTCCAGGATGTCCTCCACCGAGTGAGACCCCGCTAGACTACCGTCCACGGCCTTTGCACCGTTCATCTCGCTCCTGTGGCGTCAGATCAACTCACACTTGCGGTCAAAACGTGCAACCCAAACTAAACGGGAACCTGAGGGAAGGATTGCAAACGTGATGATATCAATGGTTTCTACCGTACAGCCACCTGCAACCCCACAAGCAATGGCCTTACCTTTATACCCATGAGGGTGGCGCCGACCTGGCCACAACCCGGCGACTCACGCGTGCCAGAGGGACCCAAGATTGCACCACTGCGCAACAGCCAGGTTACAACTGTCAATTTGCACTAATGCACATCAGCGTGCCGCATGCCATACATGGTGCAGGGGCGGCGGCGATGAGACTGCACTTGGAAAAGAGGCACCGAGGGGGCAGCAGGTGGCCAGCCTGCGAGCCAGCAGCGAGCTGGGCCGGAGCCCCAGAGGAGGGCCACAGACAGCCAGTAGATATGCCGTTGTCCATCCGCCCGCCGCCCCTGAGAACCAAGACCCCTACTGCTGCACCTGCTGATGCGGCGGCGGCGGCGGCGGCGGCGGCTGCGCTCTAGGCGGCAGCCGCAGCGCGGGCGGCCCCCGCAGCTGCGGCTTGGCCGGGCTCGCGGGCGAGGGTCGCGCTGCGCCAGCCAGGCGGCTGCTGGCCGCGCGCATCAGCTCTTCCGCGCGGCGCTTCTTCTCCGCCATCTCGGCCTCCCTCCTCCGCCGCTCCTCCGCGCGCCGCGCCTGCTCCTCCAGCGCCGCCGCCGCCGCCTCCGCGAGCGTCAACACGCGCTCCTTCTGCTGCTGCGCCGCCTGCGGCGCTCCCGCGCCGCCGCTGCCCTCCTGCTGCTGCTGTTGCTGCTGCGGCTGCGGTTGGTGCTGCTGGGGCGGCTCGAGCCCGAGCTCCTTGCAGAGCGCCTTGATTGCCTTCCTGGCCTGCTTGACGCTGTTGCGCACCGCGTTGGTGGTGCGCTTGCGCTCGATGTCCTGCGCCAGGGGCAGGGTCAAAGGGGGCCGCGGTGGGTGCCACATTTTTGCTGGCCGACAGCTCAAATCCAGGGTCAAACCTGGGCGCAGCCGCGACTTCAGGGCCGAGACGGCAGCTGAGATGCAAGCACTGCCACGCGGGCGTGTTGCCGTGCGCAGGTTGAGCGCACCTCCAGGCGCGATGGCCTTGGCAACCGCCCCTTGACCTCTGTCAGGCGCCACATCAAAGGCTTGCGCGCTCAATGGACGGCCCCTTCGTACCGCGTACACTTGCACACTTGCCGCAGGTCAACACACACACACACACACACACACACACACACACACACACGCACGCACGCACGCACTCCCTCATATGCCAACTAATAAACACAAGCAGTGCAGAAACATCCAAAGCTCGCCCGCCCCCGCACAACAGCACGCACTGCTCACCCACACCCACGTGCGCACCTGGAAAGAATCCTCCATGAAAGCCGCTGACTGCTCGTATTCCGCGACCTGCTCTGGCGGCGGGTGGATGCTGCAGTCGCGCAGCAGCTCCAGCGTCAGCGGTACTTTGTACCACGCGCCGCCGCCCCTGTCACCGCCCTCATCCGGCCGCCTGCAATGTGGATACCGAGGGCAAGTAAGGACTCGGCAGGCCGGCCGGTGTGCCGGCGCCGCTGCAGCACGGCACATTCTCTATTAGCACAACAAGGGACAGCGGCGGCGCGGGCGCGGGCTGGCCTTCGTTGCACGCGAGGGCGGCATGGCAGGCTGTGCGTCGCCCAGGCACACACGGGCACGCGAAACAGATGGAAACAGTCATCTGATTGCCCCTCGGACTGGGTAACGTCTGCCCACCATTCCACCACGCTGTAGCACTTGTCCAGCACCCAGTCCGGGTCCTTGTCCATCCAGGGCGCCTTGTAGCAGCCGGGCAGGCGCAGGCTGCCGTGCGGCACGTCGACGACAGCCTCCCAATCCAGCGACGCCAGCAGCGGGTCGCCGCCCTGGGGGTCGCCGCCGCCGCCGCCGCCGTCGCCGACCTCGCTGCCGCTGCCGCTGCCGCTGCTGCTGCTGCTGTTGCTGATGTCGGCGCCGCCGCCCTCCAGCCCCGCGCCGCCACCAGGCCCGCCGCCCTGCTCGCCCGCAGCCGCGCCGCCGCCGTCGCTGCCCTCCGCCGCCTCGTCCCCGCCCGTGACGACGTCGCCGGCGCCGCCGCTGCCGCCGCCGCCGCCGCCAAGGCCCGCTGCCAGCGCCCTGAGCCGCGCCTCCTCAGCCCTGAGCGACCGCAGCTCCGCCTCGGCCCGCTGCAGCGCCTGCTGCGACCCTATCTCGTCCCGCAGCAGCGCCAGCGGCGGCAGGCCCGCCAGCTCAGCGCGGCAGCGGTTGATGACGGCCTTGCGGGCGCGGCGGGCGCGGCCCTCGGTCGTCACAATTCCCGGGAAGTTGAGGTGGACCTGGGGGGTGCGGTGTAGGGTTGGCAACAAGGGTTTGAAGCAGGCGCACGCGGGGCCGGGAAGCATCCACAAGCAGGCTGCAGGTGCTTGCTGCACCACGGGTGCTCCCATCAGCCAATCCAACGTGCTGCAGGCAGGGCCAACGGGCGCGACGCGACGTAGGGCCAGGAGCGCCCGCGAGGCTGCCGGGCTGTCTTCAGGCACGCGCATGCGGGAGGCCTCGCGCCTTGTAGGGGGTGCGCATGGATACGATCGGCGCCGGCGGCGGCCCCTCCAGGCCGTGCGCGCGCGCGGCCTCCTCGGCCACGATGGCAGCGATGCGGGGCACCGCGGCCAGCACGGCCTCGATGGGCATTGACCAGTCAAAGTCCAGCTCTTGGAAGTGCCTGAGGGTCGTGAAGAGGAGGAGAAGGGTGGGCGTGGAGGGCGCCACAAAACACAAGAGCCCTGCATGCGGCACGCTGATCAAGCTTGGCTTGCAAGGAGTCTCGACACTCACACAAACACATATGCGCACACGCGTTGGCGCGTGCCGCTTGTGACGCCCTGCCCAAACGGTGGCGAGGACGTACGTGCCGCTCCCTCGCCTGGCTGCATTACACCCCGCACGCGCACGGCGGCTAGCACCCACGCGCAGCGCCCTTCGGCCCCCTCGCTCGGCCCCGGCTTGGGCGGCGCCAAGGGTTGGCGCACCTGTACGCCCGCTTGTTGTAATTCTCCGACAGGCAGAGCTTGGCCCACCGCCGCCCCATCGCTCCGTGCACCTCCCGCAGGAAGCTGCTGAGCAGCTGCGGCGCCACGTAGTACTTGCCGTCCAGCGGATCCATCTGCCCCATGAAGCTGTTGTAATTGAAGGAGAAACCGTTGGGGACCGGGTAGCCGGACAGGAAGTCGGGGGGCGCGTAGCTGCCCGCCCGCACCCCGTCGTGCGGCAGGCGCCCCGCGCGGCGCTCGCCCTCGCGCCAGTATGACAGCAGGGCCGCCTCGCCCATGCGCGGGTTCTGGGCCCTCAGGGACGCCAGGCCCGCCACGCGCGCGGCAGCGAGCTCCTCCTGGCGCTCCAGCGGCGGCGGCAGCTGCACGCGCTCGTCGCTGGCATCGGGCTGCGCCTCCGGCGCCGGCGGCGCGGTGGCGCCGTGGGCGGCGGCGGGGGCGCTGCCGTCGGCTTGATCCGGGGCCGAATGTGCTATGGAAGGGATGGCGGCTGGTGCAGGGAAAGCGTCCGCCCCGTCTGGGGCCGGCTGTCCGGTCGCCAATCCGCCGATTTGACCGCTGCTGCCGCCTGGTTGAGGCTGCAACGCCGTAGTGGCAGGCCCCGCGACTGCCGCCCCGCTTCCATGGGCGGCACCGTCGGCAGCGTCAGAGGCGGCTACATGCTCATAAGGCTGCGGCGCAGGCGCCGGCGGCTCCTGCGCCGCCGCAAGTGGTGTATCGTCGCGCACAGCCTGAGCAAGCACTGCTGCGCTGCTGCCCTGAGACCGCCTGCGCGCTCTGCCATAAGCCCAATTGCTTGGCCGAAGAGACCGCCTCGGTGGGCAGATGACCGTGCCTGGCAGGCTCCAGTGTCTCTTGCCGGCAAATTGCATCCAGGCGACCGGTGCGGTGCTGCAAGTGCAGGCTGGCCAGCGCCGCCGCCTTCAGCAATGCTGCAGGAGTGGGAAGGCTGTAGCTAGGCTGGCCTATCTGGTACGGTTAACTTTAAGAGTGTTCCATGCTCTCAATGGTCTGCAGCTCGGGCTGATCGCCAATCGTGTGGGAGACTGGAGTTGATGTTTTGATCCGCGGATTTGGAGCAATCACTGGCACTCACAAACATTTAATTTGATCAATTGAAACGCACGGAAGGATACACCAGGCACCTCCTGCGGCCGTTGAGTATGCTCCGACTCTCGTGCCACACGCGCGTGCTGCCTGCTGCTCCTTGCACCGCCACCTCCGTTAGTGTGCAGCCACGACACCCATTGCCCTCCGCGGCGCACTATCGGAGGCGTATTGTGACATCTGCCGGCATGTCGGACGAGGCCGTGAACGTCGTGCAGCGACAGGTGGGCAGGGGGCTGGGGCCGGTTGGGCAGGGCCGGGCTCCTGCGGGTGCGCGTTTGAAGCTGCGCCGGCATGGAGGTCGCCCCGCGCGAGGTGCTACCTGTTGTATTGTTTAACAGGCACACGCGCGAAACACTCTGAACCTGCAATCACCGGGCCCTGGCACGCCGCACCTAGCCTCACACCTGCCGTGCTGGTCCCCGCTTTCCCCCGGCCGGCCACTCGTGCGTGCGTGCGCGCGCCGCGCAATGGCGGCAGCTCGAGGCGTACAACGCGCGTGACTTGGAGGCGTTCATGGCCGTGATGGCCGACGACGTGGTGGTGGGTTGCAGGGTTGCACACTCGGTTCAAGGGTGACACACTGGATACGTGTACCGCCGATTTATCACCCCTATGGAGGAGGGGAGCATTGCGTCCTTGCACTGCACCCCACTCGCTGCAACCAGTCGTCCCCTGCGGCAACAAACGCGTCGCTTTCGACATGCTGGCCTCACAGACTGCCTGCCGCCACAACACCAGCGCGACTGGGCCCACTCTGCATTGCCTCAAGTGCAGACTGCCAGCCGCACTCTTCCGGCCACTTTGCTGCTCGCCGGCCAACTCCACCAACCGCACACCATGGTGGAGCGACCACACACCCGCATGTAAACACCATCCCCCAGGCCCTGGACACCGAGACGGGCGCCGTCATCGCCTCGTCATCCGCCGAGCTGCGGCCGCGGTACGCCAAGCGCTTCGAGACGCCCGTGCACTGCGAGCTCATCGGGCGCCTCGCGTGCGGCGACACGGTGGTGGACCGCGAACGCATAACTGGCCTGCCCGGCGGTGCGGCCGCGGACTGCATGGCGGTGTACACGGTCAAGGGCGGCAAGATACAGCGCATGCAGCTGCTGTGGAAGGCGGCCGACTAGCTGAACGTGGAGTAATTGTTTGCAGCTCAAGGCGTGGCCGTGCGGGATGGTTGTGCGGGTGCAAGTGGACGGTTGCGAGTGGGTCAACTTTGCGGACCGGAGGCCGGATTTCTGCACCCACACCAGCAAAGAATGGGGTGACACACAAGCATTCCGATCTGGCCTAAGCACTGGCGTTTAAGTGAGGCTGCGCAAAAGTCGGGCACATGAGGCTCGCTCCGATGTTGCTGAGCAGCATGAAACAGCAACCCTGATTTTGAAACATGACTCGGACCCTCTGCGCCGCCGCATTGCGATAACTCCATTGCATGCACAGCTGGTCCCAGGAGATGTGGAGCCGCAATACTCTCAACCTGCCCGGGCCAGACAGCCGGGCGTCGGCGGCTTGCCGGGGGGTAGGCCCCGGGCGCCATGGGCTGGCGGGCTCGCCTCTGTACTGGCGCCCCGTGCAGCTGTCACCCGGCTGGCAGCGATCGGGGTGGCTTGTGCAGACGTGCATTGGCCAACAGGATTACAGGAGTCCTTTATATGACGCCGGTGGGCGCTGATAATCCGGAGCATTGCGCAGCAGCGATCAATCGTCAGAAGGGTGGCCTGCAATCAAGCTCAGCAGTGTGACTGAGAGTGTCAATCATATGAATTCGGCTCGATAGTTACGCTTCACAAACCTCAACAGCCGTAGACCGAGCCAAAAATCATCCTGCGCCACACTGTGCAGGCGAGCAGGCCTCAACGCTGAGCGCGTCGTTGGCTGCTGCTTTTGGGATCGCTGCACAAGGCGCCTGCTCACGGGCGTGAGCCGGACGAGTCGCGCAGCGGCGGACGCAGTGGGGCGCCGGGTCCGGCGCAGCCCGCTGGCGCGGAGCGCGCGGCGATGTCGCTCGACATCCTGATAGCGGGCAAGTACCGGCTGGGGCGGAAGCTAGGAGGAGGCTCTTTCGGGGAAATCTTCCTGGGCACCAACTTGCAGACCGGCGAGGAGGTCGGGATTAAGCTGGTGCGTGCGCAATACGCGCACGGGGCAGTTGTGCGCGGGTCCAGGGCGGGCGAGCGCGCACACGCGCGCGCGCATGCGCGATATCGCACATGCGCCCTTGAGTGGCGCGGCACGTCTAGTCTTGAGTGCATGCACGACACTGGTGACGAGCCGAGGGCAGGCTCTGCGCCGCGCCGCACTGCGCGTCACCAGGCCGGGCGGCGGCCCGGTTTTCAACTGGTGCGAGCGTGACACCATCCTCGGCTCGCGCGGCGCCCGCACCGCCCTTGCCGTGCGCACCGCAGGAGTCAATAAAGGCGCGGCACCCGCAGCTGCTGTACGAATCGAAACTCTACAAGATCCTGCAGGGCGGAGGTGGGGCGGCTGGTTGGACTTGACCCAGCACGCGTGCCACTCACGGGCAGCGGCATGCTAACACCGCGCAGCCCGCACGTGGCACGAGGTGGCCAACCGTCGCGCACCCGTTGGCTCGTGCATAAGTTGTAAATCACACGCGTGTTCACCTGCCTGGTCCGCCACCCCTGCAGCCGGCATCCCCAACCTGCGGTGGTATGGCATTGAAGGGGAGTACAACGTGATGGTCATCGACCTGCTGGGGCCTAGCCTGGAGGACCTGTTCAACTTTTGCAGCAGGAAGTTCACCGTGAAGACTGTGCTGATGCTGGCGGACCAGATGGTGCGCGGTCGAGGCGGCAGCCGAAGCAGGGGCGGTGCAGCGACGCGGCGCGTGCTGCCGGCACGTCGGACTGTGGCGGCGGGTCGGGTCCGCAGCGCGGGGCGTGCCGCAAGCCGGCCGCGCCAATGGCGCTGCCGCGGCTGCTCCATGGCAGTCAGTCAGGATGGTGATGACGAGTTTCGGGAGCGGCGGGTCGTGCTTTGCTCAGCGGCAGGGCTCCAGTCATGAACTGATGCGAGGATGTGATGGCCAGCAGCCCTGGGTGGCTCAACTCATCCGCGCCCACGCACGCGCGCATACACACACACATACGTACTTGTCCGCCCTCCCCTCGCTCCACCAGATATCTCGGGTGGAGTACGTGCACTCCCGCAGCTTCATACACCGCGACATAAAGCCGGACAACTTCCTCATGGGCCTCGGAAAGAGGGCCAACCAGGTGCGTCTCGAGGCGCTGGGCCGGCAGGAAGGCAGGCAGGCAGGCGTCGGCCATGACGCAGGCCCGCTGCTGGAGCGCCCCTCGCTCTCTTCTTCTTGTTGCACAGGATATCGTGTGGCTTTGGGTTGTTTTTTTTTTCGCATCCACAGCGCGGCTTCAAAACATGGCAGCAGTTGTACGGCCGGCCAGCTGGTCATCATCCTGCCCTGATTGCACGTGGCGCCCGCCGCTTGGTCGCCCTGGCGCTATTTTCGGACGACGACATCTCCCCCCTGCACACGCGCCAAGCGTCCAGCACATGCTCACCTTCCGATACCCTCTTCACCGCGCTGCCCTTCAACCCAGGTGAACATCATCGACTTTGGTCTGGCCAAGAAGTACCGCGACCCAAAAACCCACGTCCACATACCCTATGTGGAAAACAAGGTGGCCGCACGCCCGTCCACGCGGCAACCCAGCGTCCCGCCCGCCGCGCCCCTGTCCGCTGCAACCTCGCGCCCTCGGATCAAGCTGCTGCTCCTTTCGCGGGACTGCCCCAACCCTGCCCCAACTCCGCCCCAACCACGCGGCCGCATGCCCTTGTCGCCACAATTTCCAGAACCTGACGGGCACCGCGCGGTATGCGAGTGTCAACACGCACCTTGGCATTGAGCAGTCGCGGCGGGACGACCTGGAGAGCCTGGGTTACGTGTTCATGTACTTCCTCAGGGGCAGCCTGCCCTGGCAGGGCCTGCAGGTGCGTGTGCGTGTGTGAAAGTTTTTATGTGTGTGTGTTATGTGTGTGTAGGTCCATGTGTGTACTTGTATGATGAGTTGCGTGCATGTCTGTGCTGTGATGTGTGCGCGTGCCTGTGTGTGATGATGGACAGGGGGCAGGGCGGCGGTGTGCGTCGAGTGGCCAGGGGCAGGGGCGTTGGCTGCCTCTGGGGGGGAGTTTTCTATGGCTCGCCGGTCCGAGGGGCGGCCGTCCCTCTGGACTGCTTCAAGGGCCCAGGCGGGGAGCCAGCGTGGACACCGCGCGGTTCTCGTCTCCCCCATCGCAACCACCCTTGCTGCAGGACCTCCCACTCCGGCCTCAACCCCCTCGCTTCCTCCCCTGTGCCCCTGCCCCTGCGGCCTCCCGACCTTGTATAGGCCGCCACCAAAAAGCAAAAATACGAGAAGATCAGCGAGAAGAAGATGAAGACGCCCTTCGAGACGCTGTGCAAGGGGCTGCCGCAGGAGTTTGTGCTCTACTTCCAAAACGTCAGGTCGGCCATGCACACGCCACAGGCACGGCAGCCCGGCCGCCGCGGTGCCTCTGGGCCGCAGGGTTTGACGGCTTGCTGATCTAGATTTGTAGGACTCGCGCGCGGGTTGGTGTTGAAGCAGCAATTGCGGCTGTGTGCCCTGGGCCGAGTGTTCAGGCTCCGCTGCGTCTCCCCTCTCACTGGCCCTGCCAAACATGGCGGCTGGCTTTGTTTGTTTGGAAGGTCGGAACCCCTTCCGATTATCCCCCCTCCCGCCCTCTCTGCACACACACACGCGCGCTCGCACACACACACACACACACACACACACACATATTGACACACACACATACACGCGCGCACGTGTGCGTGTAGGTCCCTGCGTTTTGACGAGAAGCCGGACTACGCCTTCCTGCGGCGCATGCTGCGGGACCTTTTCGCCAAGGAGGGCTGGAATTGGGACTACGTGTTTGACTGGTGAGGGTTGAGGAGTTTGGGAGGTGTTGGGGGTTGGGGGGGCAGCGGTGTGGTGTAGCCAGCTGCATGCTGATGGCGGATGTGTGTGGCCGGGGCTGCAGTGGGACCCTCGTGGTTGAAGGGTGGAGGGAAGCGGCTTGGTGAGGAGCGGCGGGGGGCCTGGGCTGCATGGGGGCAGGGATGGCCGGGGCGTGCGGCTGAGGCTGCGAAGAGTGTGCGTTCAGACTTGCGACGGCCGAGGGGCCAGGCCGCCTGCCATATGCAATCGGTTGGGGGCTAGGATTCAGGGCGGTGGTGCACGGGTGCGGTCGGGCGGCTTGCGGCTGGCGCGCGGCGGCGGCGGCGGCGGGGACGCGCCGCGCAATGTCATGTACGTACATCCCATCCGCAGAGGCGCTGAGCTCGGCCTCTCGACCCCATTCTCTCTCCCGGCTTCCCCTGCTGCTGGGTAGTCTGGCTCAATCGCGCCACTCTCTAACACACGCCACCGGCCTACGACCCGTTCTCTCAAAACCCGCCGTCGCAGGACGATCCTCAAGTATCAGAGGGCTAACGGCATCGAGCGGCCCCTGGCGACCGCCGCGGCTGCAGGGCAGCCCTCTGGCGCGGCTGCGGGCGCGGGCGGCGCGGGCGCGGCGGCGACGCGGGCCCTGCAGGAGGCGGCGGAGCGGCAGCGTCAGAGGTGCGCACGCGCGCGCGCGCGCGCCACCGGGGACGGTTGGCCGGGGCGTGCAACGGCGGGTGGTGCGACGGCGGGCGTGCGACCGCGGGCTTGGGCAGGCCGTTGCTGCAGTTTGGTGCATGCCCACGCATACCACCTCCACCGCTCGTGTTTTCATTGTCGATGCTCTCATATCCTGCACTCCTCTGAGTTGGAACTCTCCCCCTTCCCTGGGTGGGGTGCACCCCACCCCGCCAGGCCCTTGTCGGGTACGGCGGCGGCGCAGCCGTCAGTGCAGCAGCAGCAGCTGACGAACCCGACGCAGCAGCAGCAGCAGCAGCAGCAGCAGGTGGTGGCCGCGCCAGCCGCGTTGGTGCCGACCCGCAGCGTGCCGGTTGGCGGCGTCGCAACGGCCGGGCAGCAGCACCCGCCCCTGCAGCAGCAAGGGCTGGCACCGCGCACGAGCGTGCCGCTGCCGCAAGCTGGGGGCCAGCAGCAGGGCCTGGCGTACCAGGCGGCAGCTGGGCAGCAGCTGCCCGAAGAGAAGAAGGAGAAGTCGCGGGCGTCGCGAGCCTTTGTGAGCTATTCACCTGCCTGAGAGGGGGGGCGCCTTGCGTCTCCCAACGCGCCCCTCCGCCAATGCGCCCTGCGGCGCGCTCGTACGCGCGCCGGCCGCGGCCACGGCCAATGGGGCTTGACACTGGACGTGCAGCAGCGAGCGGCCAGCAGATTTGTCGGGCTCCATCTGGCCAAATAGGTTGTGCTGGCTCTGCTCCCCCACACCCAGCCACACACCCGCCCTCACAC